TTTGTGAACTCAAACTTTAATATTAGAAATTTGTATGTACATAGTTGAATTACTTGCATCTTTACTTAGTTAAATAAAATTACACTGGGTTCCTCTTCCATAGCTCCAGTTCTTTTCAAGAGCTAGGATCCTTCTCCTATTCAGTTCTATGCATATGAGATAATAAGTTTTAATTGAACTGTCTGACAAGTGAAGTAAAATAATAATTAAATTCAATTAAATAATAAAGATGATGATGATAAGGCTCGTTGTTGCTAAAAGCCATTTCTTCTACTAATTTTTACTCATTATTACAGCATGCTTTACACAGGAATGAAAGACCTAACAGGATTACTTGTTAATAAAATAATTAATTACAGATGTGCAAAGTGTTTAAACTTCTAACCTACCACAACTACAATGAAATTTCAAACTCTCTTTACCTTCTGTTAAAACAGTAACAGAATTTTAATTAAAATGTAGGTAATATCTTTATTTCTTCATCATGCTTATTTCATAACTCTTACAGACTTCTGATTTTTTTCTTTTTGACATTCATAACTGGTGACCTAAAAAGTGAAATCACTACAAGGAACAGAGTCATTCTCTAGAAACTAATGATCACCGACACAGTCAAGAAATTCCCCCACCTTTTACAGAATCCAAAAGTTCATGTCTTCACAAAACCCAAACACTACCCTCAAGCCAGACTAAATGACTCCTTGAAATTGGTAAGTTCTTGAATTGGAAGACACAGGTTGAATCACTGTTACCCAGCTTGGGAAAGGCATGTTATGCAGTACAAATTATGAAAACATATAGTAATATTACAACACTTAAAATGATATATCATGCATACTTTCATTCACTCATGAGATATGGAATGGTTTTTTGGGGTAATTTGTCAGAGGTCAAGAAGATCTTTCTCTTACAAAACAAGACTATTAGAATAATAATGGGGATGAAACATAGAGTCATGGAGGCCAGCATTTATAAAGTTAAATATATTAACACTGGTGTCTCAATATATTTTATCCTTGATGACTTTTATGATAAATAACTTGGAGTATTTTACTTTTAATTATTCAATTTATGAGAGACCAACAAGACACAAAAGAAATTTACATGTCCTACAATCACATCTCGCAATGAGGCAGAAAAGGGTCCATTGCATGAGTATAAAGATATTTATTTAACAGTCTGCCTGATTATTTAACTGATTTAGTATATGATAAAAAACAGTTTATAAAAGAAATAAGGGATGTCCTAATACATAATCCATCATATACTGTTGATGAATTTTTACTCTTCTGTCGGGATCAACAGCTAAGGAATAGAAGGGGAGTGCATGCTGACTGATGGATGTCCCACAGCAGGCATCAATATAGACATTAAGTGTAAATATAATCTGTATTTTATGTATTTATTTAGATGCACTTTGTTTGCATTTATGTTTGTTTGTTATTGTGATATGGCATGCTGGAATTGTAAAGATGTTTTGTTGTTTGTAAAGCTTGTGACATGTTTCATATTCAGTGCAGATTGCACTTATGAATATCCTGAAACGCAGATGTATGTATGCATGTATGAATCCATTCAACATCCTTTCACTCTAAGACCAACTTTAATACTGCCCTCCCATCTCCATATAGGCCTCCTTCTGGTTTACTCTTTGCCAAGTATAACTCAAGAGACAAAGTTAAGGGGGAATGAAATGGGTAGGGCATGTAGCATGAATAGGGAGAAGAAGAATACTTATAGGATATTGGTGTGAAAACCAGAAGGAAAGGGACTATTAGGAAGACTGAGATCTAGGTGGGTGGATAATATAAAATGGATCTCAGAGAGACAGGCTGGGGTGGTATGGACTGGATTGATCTGGCTCAGGATAGGGACCAGTGGAGGGCTTTTGTGAACTTGGTAACGAACCTTCGGGTTTCAATAAATGTTGGGAAGCTCTTGAGTGGCTGCACATTTAGCAGCTGCATGAAGTTAGTTAGATTCATGTCCTCATCACTAATCTTTTTTAATATATATGTGAAGTAATTTCTAAATTTCTAAATATATATTTTCATGCTCCTGTGGAAAGCAGCCATATTCTAATTTATGAATGAGCACCTTTCCTTGTATTATAAAAAAGAATACAGATGAGTGAAGGCAGTACTGTAAACTAAGGAATTCGGAAAATGATACCAGTTATTGGTATATATCCATATAATAAATGAAAGAGCTGTCTGTTTGAAGAAAAACTATGTAATGCTTGTAATGCAAGACACTCTTCAAGAAGAATTTCAGACTCATTATCCCAAACTTTCAAGAACTGAGAACATTTCAGTGAATTCTATTAAGAATGCATTTAAGAAAAGCTAGTCAAATATCTTATCAGAGACCATGTTAATGAAGAAGTCACTATGTATCTGAAATAATTTACCTTATCTTAAAATACAGCTTTATTTACCATGATTTCTGTGCAGTAATATTTCAAATATTCTCTAAACATTGCACATGTGAATCCTTGTGTCTTACTGCAACCACAGAAACACAGGGCAATTCAAATTTGGAGATGAAATTCTTGATAAATCATACAATGTGGTAAATACATTTGAATGCATCTTCCCATGCTTCCCTATAAATAATAACTGAGTGGAGAAGAATTTGGTGGCCAAATATCCTTTGGAATTAATATTTCCTTATACACTGAATTTGACAGAGCCTTACACTCGAGTTGTATCTTGATCATTTTCATGCTGACAATGTATTAAAAACTGTCTAATTACCCTATTGACAGAGCCTCACACTCAAGTTGTATCTTGATCATTTTCATGCAGACAATGTATTAAAAACTGCCTAATTACCCTATCTGCTGATATTTCACAACATATATCAACTTTCTGATCATTCAAGGTATTTTTACATTATAATAAATTTATTTAGACCAAACATCTGTTTTGGATACTGACATAACCAGACAGTTGGAAACATACCTCATTTAAGATGAATGGAGTATACAAATGTCTTCACCAGAATCAGTAATAAGATTTATAGACCATCCACAATATTGTTCAGACTTGTCACTAATCAATTTATTCAGTTTCACCATATTTAATGGCACACAACATTCAAACCTTTATTTATTATATTGAGAACTTCAGAAATGAAACTAACTTTTACGTTAGGTAAATTATCACATGTGCACAGTGACTTTATGATCGTTCTTTATAAACAAATGTACCATGAAAAAAGTGTGAATACTTATTTCTTGCTCTCTTGAATTCAGAAAAAAATAAATGCTAAATGAATACTATATGCCAAGTCATATTATTGTAGGTATGTTGCCCTGCTTATTCTGTCAAGTGAGCCACACTGTTGCAAGTGTACTTTTTTTATTGCTAGTGGGGTGGGACTAAGTCCCTTGCACTGCAGCCACTTCTGGCCTATTGTACCAGCCCCAGATGATAGGTGAGGGTGATTGTGGAGCAATTGGTGGAATGAAGATTGGCAGGGGAAACCGATGTACTCAGAGAAAACCTACCCCAGCGCCATTTTGTCCACCACAAATCCCACTTGACCAGACCCGGGATCGAACCCGGGCCGGCGCAGTGGGAAGCCAGTGACTAACCGCTTGAGCTATGGTGCAGCCTGCAAGTGTACTAAGAAACCATTTTTATTTACATGAACAAACACCTTAAACGCTGAATTATTTCAGTATATAACACATTTTTAAGTAATTCTTATTTGCACATCTCTAATTAATTATAACTCTCACAAAGCATTTAAGAATATTCAGGTTATCTGTCAAATATACACATATATTTTAAGTTAGAAATAAACTACTAGATCATTTTTCACTCTATCAAGGAGACATATGAAAATTAAATAACTTAATTAAAAGTGTTTCATTAAGAGTCAGCTATAAAATACACATTACAAAAGAAATTATAAATTTTCTCCCAGACATCTTTCATTCAATGTGTAAGTTTTGAGGTTTTCACAGCGATGACTATGAAGAAAGTCATCTTCTGGGATCTGGCGCCGTGTATTCTTGGTTTTCACCGACGTTTCGGAGGAATGTATCGCCTCCATCTTCAGGGCAGGTGAATTGCGTTGCAAAATACAGAGAGCAGTTGCTACGTTCCTCCGAAACGTCGGTGAAAACCAAGAATACATGGCGCCAGATCCCAGATGACTTTCTTCATCTTTCATTCAAATTTGAAACTGTGGCTGACACAAGTCAATAATTGCATTCCATTTTATCAAACCCATAGAGTTTTATCAAACTAATAAAAGCTAAAGTGATGTTATTGAAAGTGTTAATATATGCACTAAAACAAAAGAACGACAGGTGGCAATGTGCAACATATAAAGCATTAAAATTATGGCAGTGCATGTTAGCATGTGTATAATATATCACTGCAAAGCAAAATATTCATATTAGCATTAGTTCTGTACAAAGCCATTAAACATCCTTCCTTGACATGGTTGCATATTAAATCGGAGTCCTTTGAATTAGATGTGTACACACAGCAGCTGCACTGCTAATACATCACAAGATGTTGGTCTTGGAGAATTTCATTCCTTTCAAATGTGTGATTGAATTGAAAACATATACATGCATATGCACCTGTAATGTACATGGTAATGTAAATATATGTCACATTACCACAAGAAGTAGCAGACTAATACAAAATGTATTTTCACAAACCACTTGTATTATACATCTTGAGCAGTAGTGAAGCTTTCTCTTCATTTTAGTAATTAAACTTTTATTTTAATGTGTAAGTTAGCATAAATTTGTTTCATTGTTATAATTTTGTACTAATATTTAAATCAATATGTTTGTTTTAAAGAATCCTGATTGCATAAGCCAAAATGAATCTTCAAAATAAAACCTGTATGAGGAGAATGACTAAAGGTGTCAAAAAAACAGATTATTTCTGAACATCCATCTGCAGACACAAACCATAGACCTGTACAAACCTGTGGAATGAAACATCTTTTTAAAACAAAAGAAAACCACATAAAAGTGAGAAATCTTAATAAAGTATTTTATTACATGCTTTTGGCGAGAAAAACACCAATTACAAAAGAAACTTCTCATAAATTTTAACATACATCTGAAATAAAAAAGAAACATGTACAATTTCTCCAATACAAATAATTTCAAAACTTCAGTAACAGTTCACACCAATTCCAGGTATGAAATTAATCTCCTTGGGCTGTGATCAAAATATGTCCTCGATATTTGAAGTCATCTTTCATAATAATGTAGGCCACTACAATGGCACCTGCAGTAAGAACCATGGCGAGAGCATTCAATATCAATGCTTCTTCTGGCAAACTGCTATATTTTTTTCTGCAAGTGAAAGCAATGACAAAAATACATGAACTATTTTCAATATGCATATCACATCCAGTTTCACAATTTCATGAGGTAAAGCCAGGTTATTACATATAACAAAGCAACAGAAGTGATGACAGCTTGAATAAGCTATGGAAATGGTATCATGTCTTTGGCTGAAAGTATCATTGCCTCTATCTTGTGCACTTCTTCAAGGTACCTCTGTGCCTGACTGAATTATTCATGAAACTATAGTTACAACAAATAGGGGGTTAGGTAGTTAATAGATTATATAATGATATAGAACAATTGAGATGAGAAGAGAGTTATGCATGGTGAACTGTAATGGATGGGGAGGAAGCTGTCATGGTCATGAAGTCAGAAAGGAGAATCATGAAATATCTGTCATGACAGCCGATGTCCTGATCCAAGATTTGAATTGGATAGCTTCTGAATATATGTCAAAAGTGTCTTCACCAAGGCAACCTACTTGGAGCTAAAGAAGAGCAACCAAGTTGACACAGATTGAGAAACTGAATGGTACATCCTAATTGCAACAAAGGGAACAAATAATGGAATTTCACACATATCTGTCATATGCTCTTCGAATGAAAATACAATCCGCATTTTCTTTACCTGGGCACTAGCTGGACATTAGTCATCAGCTTCACGCCCTGGTCATTTTACCCCTGGGGAGAAAGCCCCCCAGTACCCGCTGGATAGGAGGTTAGGTGGACCCCAGAGCCAGTCTGAACAATGTGGAGAAGAGAAAATTTTTGACCCTACTAGGACTCAAACTCCAGCACTTCAGTTGTCCAACCTGTAGCCATTCACTATACTGACTATGCTATCCCGGCTCATAAGTTATGCCTATACTGAGATTTATTGGAAAATAAGCCACCAGAAGGAATATGCTGATATCTATAATGAGGTTAGCTTTCAGTTACTATTTGGAACAAAGGTTTCCTGTAAGTCAGTTAAAAATGCCAGACTTTAAAGGTCAGTCTCCAGTGACTATAAGTCCCGCTATGATAACAACACATGCATGTGATCCAGCTGACCAAGCACTGCATTTTTCAGTACTAAAACTACTACCCCAAAAATGAAATAGGCTGCCAGATCCACAGTACCAGGAAGTTTAAATCCCCCTATTCCAAGACGATCCACATTTGTCCACTGATATCTGTGGTAATCAAAGTTTAATCCATGACACAGCAACAGACAAATGAAATTCAGCACCACACTGCATGTGAAAACAAGCATGAATAAGAACATCATGAGGACACAACTGGAATATTGTAGTTAATGTTAGGAAGATGGGTGCTGAAACATAAGGCATCAAGAGTCTGCAAAAAATTTTAAAAAGAAAGTAATGGTAGCATTGTCCCTGGGCATAATTAATTAAGCACTACCATAAAGGAGAAGTGAATGTATACATCCACATATTCTTAACCTTTGCATTAAAGGGAGGTGAGTGGTCAGCTTCTCACTCTGGCTGCATTATTCCAGGAAACAATCCCCGGTACTCATTGCATAGGAGGTTTGATGGGGCCCAGAACTCTTTTGGATGCTGTGTAGAAGAGAAGTCTCTTGTCCCTGCTCAGAATCAAATCCTCATTCCCATCCAGAACATAGCTCATTGCTATATTTACGGAGGCTATACAACATGTAATTACTCTACCTATCATAAAATCAGACTACAAAATAAGTTTCTTGGTTTTTTTTTTTCATTCAAAAATGGGATGACCCACTTTACATTTGCTAATGAAGGCATAAAGATCAAATCTGATTCAACATTCTCTAAGGAACTGACTAACGGTAACTGGGCCACTTTATTTAATAGTTTGATTAATGATGAGTTTGCCCAATAATTATGTAAGAAATCAAAGTGAAACTGAATATTTCAAACATTAATGTGCCCACTGTAATTGTCACATGGCATAACCTGGTAAAAATACTGGATTAACCACAAAGTTACAGGTACTTAGTAAAAGTATTGTGGCATATTTGCTCTATGTAGGAACTGTTGAGCCACAAAGGCCTCAGGATACTCATGGAATTGGAGAGTTGCAGATTGTATCGGCGCATTGCTAGGTGACAACTCTGTGAATGCTTGGATAATGTAACAGTAAGTAGGGGGTCACATGACCTCTGCATTTCCGCAAATGACGTCACATACCCCCACCCAGCCCACTGTTATGCAATGCTCAGTAAACACCCTTCCACGCTAGGCTGTGACGTCACACAACAGTGTTACCTATCATGTAACTAGCTTTCTATGGAATCTGTGCCACGACCGTTGCTATGCAATCACTCGGTAAACAAGCTCCAACAATATAGGCTATTTTCTGTGTGGTCAGTGCAGATGCTGATGGCAGATGGCAGTATTTGGGAATATTTGAGAGTGTTTGAGGGTGTTTAAGTAACTATTTTTTTTAATGCTAGTGGGGTGGGACTAAGTCCCTTGTACTGCGGCCACTTCTGGCCTATTGTACCAGCCCCAGATGATAGGCGAGGGTGATTGTGGAGCAATTGGTGGAATGAAGATTGGCAGGGGAACCGAAGTACTCGGAGAAAACTTGCCCCAGTGCCACTTTGTCCACCACAAATCCCACTTAACCAGACCCGGGATCGAACTCTGGCCACCGTGGTGGGAAGCCAGTGACTAACCCCTTGATTAAGTAACAGTAAGCGTAACAGCAACAGGAAGTTCATAGAAGACCTGTGAAGTTTTCAAATGTGATCTAAGACCTTAAATTACGTGCAATATTTGGACTGCTCTGAAGTGCTAGTTCCTGTGTTTTAATTGCATTACCAAGAGAGGACTAATGTGTGCATGTAACCGTGAATTATGAGGTTATGTAAATCAGCGATAGCGCTGTATTTGAGTGTAATTGAAAGAGTGTGTAACCAAGGTGCTAATAATTCCAATCACCTGAACTAGAACCTGTCATTGTCATCATGCGTACCACCCTACACATGACAATATGTGTTGAAACTTGTGACATATCTACTCAATACACAGGAGAAGGACTGAATAAATATCCCAAAATTATTTCTGAAAAAAATTGTGAATTCTCATAATGTAATTAGCCATCATCTCTGTTGCTGCTTAGACACTTCAGTCTATGATATAGTATGGCCTTATCACTTACGCAAAGATAATTCAGCCATTATGACTTGTTGCCTACACAGGAATCTGATGATTATGTAGCTTTTATGGCTTCCATATGTCTACAGTGACTATCTCAGCTCACAATTCATGCTTGCCTGTAGATGTCAACCCAAGAATGATGTTCCAAAGTGTTTTCCATGATGAGGTCTTCCATTCATAAATACTAATAATGGCTTACAATTTATTCAAATAAAATTTTAAACATACTTTTATTGCATCATAAACTTTTAACAAATGTAGTCTTTCAGAACTTGGGTTACAAAAGTGTGATAGATGAATATTATGTTGTGATATAAAGGCAAAGGTAATGCTATCCAGTGCCCAGGTACTATGAAACAAAGGCAGACAGCAAAAGTGGAGCTAAAAGGAAGCTCTACTAAATGGAGGTACTGATCAAGTTACATGAGAGTGGTATATATCCAAGAGACAGTATAGCAAAAATTTTTGTTAAAAATATTTCAGAAATAAAAAAAATTATTACATGGAAATAAAAAGGAAAAATTAATAGATAATTTGGGGACTGCAATGAACATAGGTATTAGAAGTTTACTGCAAGCTACTGCAGAACTGCATGTCACAAACCTCTGCACTGAAACAAACTAAAATAAATAACTAAAAATCAGTGACTAAACACTATAAGCATAATACACTGTCATTACATACCCCAGTCCAAAGATGGCTTTTTCTGTCAGTCCTGTAAGACAGGTGGCAACAGCAAGCATAAACGTAGTTATGCCAAATGTTGCATGAATTGGAACTAATGAAGCACGGAAAGCTGCAGTGGCTCCCTCGCAACACAGTAAGATCAGGAAACTGAAGAAGCCTACTACAAACTGTGCCAACAAATAAGAAAATTTATATTATTAAAACTGGACATATTCAAATGTAGACATTTTAGCATGTATCAAGCATTAGAACAACCAATAAAAGATAAGATTTGGAAGAATAATGATCCAAAGACACAAGTGAGAAGGAAGATCAATCAGAGTTTTATGTCTTTACATACACTGCACTTTTACATTATTATAAACTTCCCCAACAAAAATTAAGTATTATATTTTCCAGTTTGCTTTCCAAATACATTTCAGAAAAATTACTGCAAATAAGTAATAAATCAGGCATATAGACTTACTTCTAGTTAGATGTTTGAAATTATATGACATATTCTCAGCCTCAGCCTATATCTTTCATGCAACATCCACAGACAAAACAAAGGGTTCCTTCTGAGATGTGTTAGTGCAGGAGGCTAATTTAACATAGTTCAGGCCCTGCCACTGTACACTACTGACCTCTATGGACTAAATAAGAAAATGTTTTAATACACTGAAAATAATTTGAGTGGCAAAAGGTCAACAGTGTTCAAGCAGAGGCTTTAACGTTTACATATGAAAAAAGACACAGCAACAAACATCCCAGATGGTAGTTTGTGTCACTTTGTTAAGCTATCAAGTTTTCACTAATCTGGAAAACCCAGAACATGATATTTACAGCAAAATACTACAATATATGCTGTCAGATTTTGTATAGTAATGTTACAATTTACATTGTATAAATTTACATTTAACATTCTTTTGTGTTCCAAGTGATTAACATGTGCACCCCGGGGGGATATTAAACTAAGTATATCATTATACATGTTGGAATAATTACCATGCATATAAAATACCGAGAACAGTTTTGAAAAATAGAGGCTTTCAAGGTTCATTAATAATTTCTGAAGGTTTCATAGTATTCTTTAGAACACCAAAAATGACTATGTATACATTAAGAATTCCATCTTCTGTGATATGTGTACTATATAATCCCATATTTCCCATTGAAAGTCAACCATCTTCTCAGAGGAGCATGTCCCCTCCATCTTCAGGGTCGAAGAATAAGCCAATCAAGAAACCATCATGAAAGCAGGTGAAGCTGGTTTCTTCATTGGCTTATTATTTGATCCTGAAGATTGAGGGGACATGCTCCTCTGAAACATCGGTGACTGACTTTCAACGGACTACATAATATTATATTCCAGATGACAGAACTCTTCATAACCACTGCTGTGAGGACATCACATCCTACACTAGACACATAAAAAGGTAAAAGAGATAAAGCTAAAGCTACCCTTGTAGCAAGCCATGGAGGCCCATAGGGTTGTGAGCCGTTGAGGGTCCCACATTATCTAGATAATCGGCTCACAGATGGTGGCAAGGCTGTCAGTCTTACACACCGGCCGACTTTTACCCCCAGGAAGATTCCTGGTATTCGTATCTGTTAGAGGCTGAGTCGACCCCAGGGCCATAGTGCGGCTGGAAGAATTAGGTAAATTGAAAAAATCCACCTCATCGTGACTGGAACCTGTGGCCTTCCGGCTTGTAACCTAGTGCCTCAACCAAGTAGGCTACCGCGTCACATACATAATAAAAATGCAATCATATCATGGCTAGAATTATGACTGTACAGATAGTAACATTTTGACATATATATGGATTTACAGCTTTTCGTTTGCCAGGAATTATGTTACATGTATTTGGAAAAAAAATAAACTATAAAAAAGGAATAAAATATTTTACATGAATTTTATAATCAATGTAAGTAATATAACATCTTACAAAAACACAATATTCTCAAGTTACTACAACATTTCCTTCAATAAAATTTAATTTAACTAAATTTAACTATTCATTTTTATGAAATGCTATTAGTGTAAATTTAACTAGGGAAATTGTAGAATTAGAATGGTTCAAATTACTTAATCAATATTCCACATGCATCGCTCAGCAACTTCTCTTGCATATGACTTTGAAGTGCCCTTGCTGCAATTGTAACTAAGAGCATCACAACGCAAATGTAATTATGATAATTATTATGTTGATATGAAGGAAAGACATCTTTGAAGATAAAATGTATTATTACACAAATGGGAGTCATCTGGGTCAGGGTAGGATCCAATTGTGGGCTCTTCTGGACACTGCAATGAACAATCAGATTCCTTATAAGGCAGGAAATTTCTAGCTACTGAGCAATTATCAGTTCTCGGGAATAATTTTGCTTCATTGACTTAGTTAGAGTGTGGGACACTGAATTCATAAACTGCACATTACATGAGAAAAGTTTGAGCCTACTTTCTTTCCTTAAATGGCAGGCTTATGAAATCACCATCCTCTGTGTGTTTGTATGTGTCCTCCATCATCAGAAGCAGGTGACCGATTTTCATGAAACTTGGTATGAATGTTATAACACTGAAAACCACTCAAACAGCATAATTCTTAATTTTATACAATCAGTAATAACATGTCAGATGCACCAACTTCTGAGATGGAAGCAATACTTGCAGCACTAACTGTACTGTACAGTTAACATACTAGACATACAAAATTTTGTACAAAGATGTATCATTAATATACCTACATATGACATACAAAATATGTTTTGGAATCAACAATTCCAATCATGGTAATGGTGTGAAAGATTTCAGATTGATTAGACAAAGTTTGTATGGGCGGAATCTGCACTTCATAACAAGTTCTCAACAAAAATAAAACAGAACAATAATAATAAATCCGCATAGCTAGAACTCTGTGCATTAGGAATGTAGGTTTATTGAGTTCTGTGTGGAACCCCTTGTTTAACTGCATTTCATTGCACACTGAAATCATTTAGAATCTTAAAATACTGACAAATCTGTTTTTGAAGTGGTCAAGAACCTGTCTTTAACTCATCCGTTTTTGTAAGTAAGAAAAAGCCAGTACTGTGGGGTCAGATATAAATGCAAGCCTCTTTTCTGTTATGTGGAACTCCCTCTCTCCATTGTAATTTTTTCATATCTTCCCCTTCAGTCCTTTTACACCCTTCTTGGTATAACAAATTTGGTCAAAATCTGAAAATCTATCAACGTTCTGAATTTCTTTAATCCAAAATGGTAAAACAGTTAATATTAATTTCCAATATTCTACGCATTAGTAAACAGTTCATCACGCTCCAAGATATAAAATCGATGATAACAGGCCTTACAAATTTTGCATTCAGTTGCTAAGAATTTGTTCATTACCTACAACTAACATTCTCAATAAACACATACATAGACAACTGTGCAATTCCTCCCAAATATCTAAAATTTAAAAGCAACAATACTAGTTATCTTAGGAAACTGAAATGTATGTAAGAGCCCGTTTTGCAGAAGGCTAATAGGATAATATAATACACCTGAACAGTTTAACTGCAATTGCTGTAACACTCAGCCCATCATAAATAATGTAATGCCAGATATGTTTCAAATAAAAGTTGTAAATATTAATGTGATGTATATTTTACGTTCAGCGTAAATTTACTCTGCACTCAGTCACTTTTGATAAAATTGATAAAACTATATCTGAGCTTCATGGAAAATAATGGTTGTAACAAATGGATTCAAATTCAAATATAATTCTTCTAACAACATTTAATGTCATCTCTCAGTGCCAAATTTCTTTAGGATTTGTTGAATAGCTTTATAGATGAAATATATAGTGTGAAAGACAGATATGAAGTCCCAATTATCCGTTAATTTCATATACTTTGAACAAATATTGCATAAGAATTTAACTGTTATACCATGCATTAAGAAGTTTTCAGTATAAAATTGCAAAGTATGTTATTATAATCACATAATTTTTAACGACCCACATTGGTCGCCATTTCTCTAACCGCCTCACACTGTGACGTCGTCTCTTCTATAACTGCTCCACGTTTTTGAATGATTCTCACCTTGCACAGCTGCTACCTCTCGGTCTCTTTGTTGTCCATTCGGCCACCTTCGGCACCTCGGTAGAACGGGTTAGGTATTTGGGAAGGCAGGGAGGGATTATGGGTGCGATTACGCGTACGTAAGTAGCTTACTATTGAAGTAGGATCAGCTCAGGTGAGATCTCCGGGTCTCCCGGTCTACTCGTAGATTGGTAGAGTTGGAATCTTATCTTAAGTCGGATCGGACCTCGCTCCGGAATGACGAGAAGAACTACTATGCATAACACCATTTCAGTTGCACACAAGTTTTCATTTAGTGTTTACTGTGGGTTTAATGCCAGATCAGTTACTTCACTTACTTAAATGATCACTTATAATTCTACGTTTATTCTTATATCACTTGAGTTTCCGGTAACTTACTTTTACTGCGTGAACTTCTATAAACTTAACAATGTACAACAGCGACCGTGACGCGTGACGTAGTTTTGCGTCCGCAGACTTCAGAATTTGGAAGACGACTAATTTGGTGAATGAGCTCTCCTGAGTAGCAAACTTCTTCAAGACCAAACTCCCAAGAGGAAGCTCCTTCCTGAAATAGGCCTTTATGGTCCAGTTTCATCTTTGGGAGTTCGCTAGAAGTTTACTTTTCCCAGTGATATTGACTTGTTGAGCGGTTTTAGCTCTTAAAGACTCGACGGCACTTTTGACAGGTTCGTGATATATAATCAGCTTGTCGTGGGGCTGTGCACTCCTACTCTTGAGTTATAGGTTGCACTTGCTGTCAAATATCAGATTTCCAAAGGCATGCGGCAGTAGCTCCTACAGCTAAAACTCCAGCAAGCGTAGCGAATGTTACATCCTGTTCACACAGCAATAATGAGCTTGTGTCACTTCTGCATGCAAAAATTTGACTAACTGCTTACTTCTAACTTCTAACTCTAGATTGTACTTAAAAAAATGTAAATCTCTCCCTGTAACATGACGTGAAGTGCCAAAGAGTTGTGAGACGTCGAGGCTACCACATCTAGACAATCGGCTCTCGGATGGGGGCAGGTTGTCAGCCTTAAGCACCGGCCGCCTTTTAGCCCCCAGGAGGATTCCAGTTACTCATTTCTGTTAGAGGCTGAGTCGACCGCAGGGCTACAGTGCGGGTGGAAGCATTAGGTAAATTGAAAAAGAAATAATGACTTCAAAAGGAATCGAACCCCCGACCTTCCGGCTTCTAGCAGAGTGCCTCAACCAACTATGCTACCGCGTGCCACCTAGCTTGTACTTATTTATTCTTAATTAACACAATTCATTGTAACCTTAATTCTAGCGAATGGTAACACATTCAACACGACTCCACTTTCCAGGACTTGTAAAATTTCACCAAGCCATACTCAGCATACTAAAATTTAATTTACCTCCACAGAGCTATTAAAAAATTACCTTACCATTATTATTACCACAGCCGCGGCCGNGCATTACATTCCTCAAATGAAATGTTAAGAGAAACAGACAGATTTGCCAGGTCAATATTTAATTGACTGGCAAGTAAATGTACACTTTAACATATTCAAAACTGTAACTTCAAGCTTGAGTTCTGTCTAAATAATTGCAAAATTCCGTAGGGAACATGCAGTTCAGTTGGACATATTGTGCGTGTTAACAACCAAATTCAAATTTTTAGAAGTAAATGCTTTGCATTATCATAAATTTTAGTAATCTGGTGATTATATACAACTCATTCACTCACAGACACACTTAACAGAACTACTGAAGCATTACTATGCATCATACATGTACAGATGATACAACGTGAATCCTGAGATCAAAATGAATTATATTAAAGGAAAGGATTATACAAGAAAGCCAAACACCTCACTTTCAGATAAATAAATGACAATCAGATATCACCTATTTCCCAAACCCAAAGCAGAAGCAACTTATTCATGATTATAACATGGAAAGATAATATGTTCAATGTATTCTAGCAACATATGTTTTGCTGTTGGATCTAATGGACTACTAAAACCAGAACCCACAAATACGGCCCAAGTCCCACCATACAATACAAATACAGACGAAGCAGGTTCTGCTGCTACCACCTATTTTCTACTTCTATTTGCACACAAACTGGGATGTCTGTTACCAGTATTTACCACTTTGAATACCTGAAGCGCAAATAGCCCCATTGTGACGAGACCCATCCAACTGTGAAGCGAGTAGAAATTGGGGATGGCTCCTCCAGGATTAAGATTATGAGAGTCCAGAACCGCGATGAAACCCACAACAATGCAAGGAATGGCCAATGCATGAAATATCGTATGGAACAGCTTGACATAGATTCGGCGACAGCAGCGACACACACGGTACAACAATATTGCTGAAAATTAAAATTTAAATAGTTATAACAAATTGTATTTTCATGTAACACAGCTAAGAGATAGCTCAACTTGAATTGTTTGCGATATGGATAACTGATTTGTTAGTTATGCTTCAAAATTCAGTGGTTTACTAATGTGTACCAGCTGTTTTAACATTACAATACCAAACAAGTTAACTCAAGTGGCAATGTTTCTAACTTGTATTCAGCAGGTGCTTAATTGGAATTTTGGATGGGGCACCAACTGCCCTGACTAGTGTTGCGGTTTTTCCTCAGTCCCTCTGTACATATTCTGGCATAGTACCTCAGATTAGGCAATGATGGTTTTTTCCTATATAGTACTTTCCATTAATTATCCACTAATATGCAAGTATTCAACACTAGTCTTGAGATATTTACACCGCCCTTAAATAAGCTGAAACTAAATAAATAATACAAACAAAATACTCATGAATTCTGCATTCCGCCCACAAAATAAAAAAGAATTATGGCCCTAAACAGCAATAACTGATTGGCGTTCATAATGTAGCTGAGATGTGTTTTCTGCTAGCTATATACTGAATGTTTTCAATATTACTTTCTCGTATATGCAGTACTTATGAGAAAATACTGCAATTTCAAAATAATCTGATCTGGAAATTTGGGAGTATGCACATGAATGTATTCAGTTCAGTTATTCAGTATACAGGGGGTGAGTTTCCCCATGCACCGCGACTAATAGGCTATTGTACGTCCCCCTTTAATTTCTACTGTCGCCATACCCTACCGATACTGGTGCCCACTATCTCCCCTTTCTGCCAGCGAGGTCGGTCCTCTACTGGCAGTGGTACCCGATAACTTCCCCATCTACCGGAGGCATTGGAAACTATTTGGGCGGGAAACATTTTGCCTAATTTTGCTCACAGGTCTCCTAGAGACAAGAGGATCTTTAACGTGCCGTAAATCTACGACACGGGACCCACAGCTTAAAGTCCCTCCCGGAGGACTTGTTCCCTGAATTTTTAAAAATTCCACGTCCTCCGCCGGGTTTGACCCCGCGTACCTTGAGTCATGAGGTGGGAACGTTACCCCTAGACTACGGAGGCCGCTCTATACATGAATGTAAGAATAAATGAATGAATGAATGAATAAATGGATGGATGAATATGGGCTCTTGGAATATCGTCTGTCTGCCTGTCCATATGTATGTACATGTATATGCACGCATGTTGCACGAATGTGTGTCTCCTTAGCATCTGAACAGCCGAACGAAGTTTACTCGTATTTGGCATTCAAGAGTTTATTCATCACAGATCGGTGTTCGGTGAACATAAACATTCTCTCCGCAAAAAGTGGGACCCATCGGAGAAACAATGAAGCACAAATGACGATTTTATAAGAAATGGCTCTAACGATTTTGATTTAACTTCAGTAATTTATGACGACGATCCCCCTAGATAAAACCGTATTGGCTGAATCTTCGTGTAATTAACGGTAAGCATGCTTGAGGCCCAAACGAGAACTGTCAGTTCTCTCGAAAATGGCTTCACTGATAATGATTACATTTTAGAAGCAATGGATCCACATACTGTGCCTTGGATGGAAGTATAATATTTTCTTTTGATTTTAATCTTTGGTATTAATATTTTATATAGTTTCTTCCCCTCCTCTTCTTCCTCCTCCTCCTCTCCTCCTTCTCTTTACGGTTTTGATTTATTTTAAAAAATATACAAGGAGTTCAGACGCCCGACTCCCCACCACGCCAGCCCCCATGATGATGTTTTAAAGCACTGTAAATACCTTCATTATAAAATGGTACTCCAGAACTGAACTGATGTCATCTACCCATGCCTGCACTCATTTCTGGCTGACTAGAAAGAATAGTGAAAGAAAGATTCGCGGTGTATTTTACCATAATCTTCCCCAACATAACAGGAGGAACTGAGGAAATCAAAGCATAAATTAAATTTATTATCATGTTCCTGGCTGAGACTCAAATAAAGGGCCTACTAAATATGAAACAAACGTGTTTCCCATTAAATTATAACATTCAGGTTATACAAAATTCTATCTTCCGGGGCATAACGACCTGCAGTACACTGAAAGTTAACCAGTGTTTTGGAGGAACATATCGCCTCCATATTCATGATTGATGAGTAAGACAAGCAATAAACCTGCATGAAGCAAGAAGATGGAGGTAGTATGTTCCCCTGGAAAGTTGATTTACTTTCACTGACTACACACGATTACTATATATTCCAGAATATGGAACTCTTCATTATCAACCAGTCACCGTCTTTGTTCCAGCTTATATGTAACATGGCAAAACTAATTTAGAACATTAAATAAGGTGATAGTTCTGGCTGATATTGCTCAAAACTAATTTCTCCCCCCCCCTTGGCACTAGAGCCCCAGTGGGCCTAGGCCTACCTCCATGAACTTCTCCGTTCACTTCGGTTTTTCTAGATCTTACACATTCGGTAGGACTCCTTGGGCGGGTGATCAGCTCGTCGCAAAGCCTCTACCTGTACACAAACACAGAAAAACGCACACACAAACTAAACATCCATGCCCTGAGTGGGATTCGAACCCATGATCCCGGTTTCCAAGCGAGCGAAGATAGTACATGCCTTACACCACTCAGCTACCGTGACCGGCTAAAACTAACTTCTAGCTACTGTAAAAGCCTTGTATAAAATATAATAATAATTTGTTCACACAGATTATGCTTTATTACGCTGTAATAATTATGAGTGTTATACACTATCGTCAGAGCCCTTTAGAATGTACGCAATAATGTTGAAAATTATCCATTCATTGCGTAAAGTAGTATATTTCATACTTAAAAGTTTTCAGGAGTTGGCCCTACTCCCATCTCATAGTGACTGGTCACTACATTATACAGACACACATTTTACTTATTCTCTTTACAAGATTAAAGGAGATGGGTGAATTTAAACGCAGAACTTCTTGAATATCAAATACAGGGTTGGCCGCGCCATAGCTC